GACCCGGAGGTGAAATTTAATGGGGCTTAAGAATCATCATAATCCCAATAGTTGTAACAACAGCTAGTTTTTGAGGGGTTGCAAGGTGCCAAGAATTATGCTAAGCAGTTTGCAGGCGTCATCTCGCCCAGTGGCCATGAGAGCACGGCGGGGGGGGGGCGGTAGACACCATTGTTCTGCCCATTTTACAGACCAGGGAACCTGAGGCTGGAGGGCCCGGAGCGGTTCTCCCAAGGCCGTACAGCTGGTGGGGGAGGAACGGAGTCTGGTTCAGGCTTCCAGAGCCCAGGTTCTACTCATCTCCTAGTTCCCACTGACCACGGGGCCCAGACTAATTATCCCTTAAGTAAAACACATCCCAGCGCACAGCCGGGGATGGTGCTCGCTGATACCAATCAATGTGGTATTTAACAGCATTATTTCAGGTGTTATGAACAGCAACCAAATGACGCTTCTGGGAACTGAAGCCTACTTCTAGGGACCTGTTCAGAACACGGTGGCCGCCCCAGAGGGAGTCATGGGAACACGGTCAGAGACTGGCGCTGGGCCAGCCCGAGCCTCATGCAGAACCCGCCCCCACAGTGATGGGACGGCGTTTGCTCGCTAGGGCTATGGCACAAAGAACCACAACCGGGCAGCTTCAACAGCAGAAGCCTCTTGTCTCACAGTCCTGGGGGCCAGAGTTCCAAGATCACGGTGTCAGCAGGGCTGCGTCCTTCTGAACCAAGAGGGGGGCGCTGGTGCATCTCTCCCAGCTTCTGGTGGTTTACTGGCCATCTTCGGAGTGCTCAGCTTGTAGAAGCGTCACCCTGATCTGCCTTCCTGTTCGAACGTGTGTGCATGGCGGTGCCCAAATCCCCCTTTTTATAAAGACACCAATCCGATTGGATTAGGGCCCGCCCTAATGACCTCACTTAAATTCGATGACCTCTGTACGGGCCCTATCTCCCAAAAAGCTAATTTGAGGGTCTGGGGTTTGGGGCGGCTTCCTCGTGACCCTAACAGGGCCCTTGGGTAAGTCAGGTAACAGCTCTGGGCCTCCACTTCCTTGTCTGCAAAGTGGGGTTGGGACGAATCCCTCCCTTCTCAGGTTGCGGTGTAGAGACGCTGTAAGGGAGGAAACCGTTTGGCTCAGTGCCTACATCGTATGTATAGTCAGCGCCCAAAAACACAGACACTGTTTTGCTCTGACACTCCCAGGAAGAGAGGCTGAGGGTCAAGAGGGACTCGCGTTTGGCGTATGCAGGCAGGGAAGGGCAGAGCGGGGCCCAGCTGGGCTGCGGGGAGCCAGCCTAGGGAGACGTCGGGGACTCTGGCCCTTCGCCGCTGGGTGGCCCCAGGGGGTGGCTCTGGTCCAGGCCTGGGCTCCAGGACGGTGCTTTGGCTTCGCTTCTGCACGCCTGGCTGAGGCATTCAAGGCCCCGATTCCAGGCTCGCTGCTGTGTCCTCCACACCCTCGCCAGCACTGACCTACTGGGTCGGACAGTTCTGTGTTGTGGCGTGTCCTGGGCCCTGTCGGACGTTTGACACTATTCCTGGCCCCTACCCGCCAGCAGGAGGTAGCGCCCCCTCCTTAATGACGCCTGTAATGCCTGGGACCACCAGTCGTGTCTGGGACACTGCCAAATACCTCCCAGGGGTCCAGGTCACCCCCTTGGCCCAGCTGGCTGCCGAGGAAGGGCTGGGTTGCTGTGAGCCTCATGGATGTTGGAACCCACTGGTAAGAACCTGGAAACAGGAGCCTTAACAGCATTTGGGCAGAAAGTCTCCACCCCGGTGGCACCCCCACTCCCCATCCTGAATGAACTGTCCTTCTCAGTCCTGCTGCTTTGAGCCTAGCTCCCCGGGGTCACCTCAAGGTGACTGTGGCCTGGCCTCGGCAGGGTGGCCTGGGCTTGGCTGTAAACAGTCAGCAGGAAGCGCAGGCCAGGGGTGGGGCCTGGGCAGCCTGGCCAGGAGCAGGTGTGGACACGGCGCTGACAGGCCCAAGTTATCGGGACCAGAGGCCCAGGCTCCAGACCAGCAGGTCGTGGGGCTTTATCAGCCGTCAGAGTGAGCGACAGCCTTGCTGGGCGCGGGCGCTGACAGCCAGGAGCTGCGCAGGGCGAGCTTCTGCTCAGGGCCTCCGGTTCCCACCGCAGGGCGGGAGGGGCACCCTGCGGGACAGAGGGGGCGAGGAGGCGAGGAGGGGATGGTGGGAGGAGGAGACAGAGGGAGACAGAGGGAGGTGGGCCGCGGGGCTTGCTTCCCCTCCACTTCTCTTTCCTTCACGGGTTTAAAGTATGTTTATAGTTTCAAAGCTGATGCCTGCTCCCTGCAACAAGTTTAGTGACTTGAAAAGGGCGTGGGGAGTGTTGGGGAGCATCCGAGGGAGAAGGGAGGGGGTGAGTGAGAGAAGGGGTGGCAGGGGTCGCACCAGGAACAAAATCTGAACTCCTCTCCGTCCACTGCCGCCCTGACCGGCTGGCGGCTCCCCTCCAAGCCCTCGCCATTAGTGTCCCACAGCTGCTGGGACAAATTACCCAAAACTTGCTGCCTTAACACAGCAAAGCTCTCCCTGTTCTGGAGGCCAAAAGCCCCAACTCGCTGTCACTGGGCTAAAGTCAAGCTGTGTGCGTGCGTGCGGGGGGCGGGGCACACTCCCTGGGAGGCTCTGGGGAGAATCCCGTGCCTTCTGGCTGCTGACGGTGGCACCGCTCCCGTCCCTGTCTGCGGGGTCAGGGTGGCTTCTTGGCTGCGTGTGTGTCAGATGGCCCTCTGCCTCCCTCTTAGGTGGGACACATGTGACTGCCTCTAGGGCCCACCTGGATGATCCAGGCTACTCTCTCATCTCCGGATCCTTCACTTAGTCGCATCTGCAAAGTCCATTTGTTGCCACTTAAGGTGACATTCGCAGGTGGCGGGGATCAGGATGTGGCATCCTTTGGGGGCTGATAATTAGCCTTTCTCCCCCTCCCTGCTCCAGCTCACTGGTCCCAGCTCCTCCACCTGCCTCGGGGTCGCCCTCCCCTGGAATCTTGGCTCTTCCTCACCCTTCAAGTCTTAAATGTCACGTCCTTGGAGAGAACTTTCCCAGTTGCCTCCCTGCCTGGCACATAGTAGGTGCTCAATGCTAAAGAGAATGAGAGAGGAAGAGAAACCCCCTCTGGGCACATGACAGCCCTGAGCAGGGAGCTGGGCTTCTGGAGCCCTGGAACACTCCCTGAGTCCTCCCTGTCTTCATTCAGGGCAGAGGCTGGGTTGACAGCTGCCAACCCCCAGCCCCAACCTCTCCAGACACGGGGAATGCCGGGCCGTGTTGGGCAGATCCTGAGGTTTATGTCTGCGCTGGCCTAGGTCTCCCGGCACAGGGCCTCGGCCTTGCCACCCCTCAAAGCCCCTAGAATGAGAGTCCAGACAGAGTAGGGAGGGGCGGGGAGGGGCTTCGCGCATGCCCACCATAGGCCTCAGGCTGCAGAGCTCCCTTAAAGGGGCAGCATCTCAGGGCCTGGCCCAGCAGCGCCTGCTGGTTCAAACCAGCCCAGCCCTGGCGGACTGAGCAGTGGGGTATGTAGACGCCCGATGCTGGCACTGCCACTTATGAGCCAGGGGGCTTTGGACAAGGCACAAGGCCTTTCTGGGCCGCAGTGTCAGGACTATAAACATCACTGAGCCAGGAAGGCTCCTTCCCCCCTTGCTGGGAGTGACAGGAAGGCCTTCGCATGGAGGAGCAGGTGGGACATGCTCGGTAAACCTCGACTGGGTTGCAGGCCCTTAGAAACCCCCCGGGGTACGCCTGTGCACTGGAGGAAGTGCCGACGTAGGAAACGTCCAAAGCTGTAGGGAATTTTTATGAGTTTCTTTGAGCCACACTGAAGAGAATTGTCAGAACGCAAAATCTCACTGGACCGAGAAAATGCTCCAGAGAGAGAATGGCAGTTTTACAGCTTCTTTCATCTGTTAGAATCAAAGCAGGAGACGGAAGAAGGGTTACATGAGATCCATTGGTGGGGCTGGAGGAGCTGTTTCCTGCTGTCCAAAGGGGGTGCAACTGAGTTCTGGGTGGAAAAAATAACATGATAACTATAGGTTACGGTTACACACAGTACTTGTAATAACACTGGCATGATCGCTAACTTTCATTGAGCACTTATTTCCCGCCAGACCCTGCATAGATTGCTCCGTTTATCTTTCCCCACGAGGTGGGCACTGTTATCACAGACGAGGCAAGGACAGCCCAGCAGCTCCCCCGTGGCACACGGCGAGCATCAGCCGCCCCTGTCCCCGGCTGGGGGCCCAAATCCTGCCACCCTGGAGGTGTCGTTTGGAGATACTGACTTCCAGCTCTTTATTAGGAAACAAAAGACTCAGAAAGAACCTTTGACCCTCCCCCCGTCTCCTGCCCAAGAGATTCAGACAAGGGAACCTGCCTCAGGAAGGCGACCTTGGGAGGCTGCTTCTGTCTCCACATGGCTTTCTCCCTGGGTGGCTGTCAGCATCTGTGTCTCTCAGCTTTTCTTATGAGGACACCAATCAGGTTGGATTTAGGGCCCATTCTACTCCAGTGTGACCTCATCCTAACTAATTACGTCTGTAAAGATCTTATTTCCAAATAAGGTCACATTCAGAGGCTCTGAGCGGCCGTGAATTTGGGGAACACTGCCCAGCCCAGTATAATGCCCCTTTCTGATTTTTCTGTCACAGCTGGCTACACTCTCAGCAGCTTTTCAAATGGGGGAACACAGCTCTGGGTCCCCCACCGGGTCCCTGCTGCTAGCCCTGGAGGGCCTGGGACTCTGCGCCTGCGTGGGGATGCCTGACTTCACCGGGGAGTCACGTCAGGGGACAAGGGCCAGCAGGAGGGCCTCGGTGCCTCCCCGCTGCCTCCTCGTTTCCGGCGCGAGGCTGTCACAGGACCTGCTTCCTGCACACCCCCCCCCCCCCGCCCCCATCTGACCCTCCCCAAGCACACGGTGTCCTCTCTCGGAACAGCACTATTAATATCCCTCATGTGGACGTTCAGGGACGGCCATTCACGACCTCGTGCTCACGTGTGCCCCCCATTCCAAGCCATTCATGAATGGGACCCCCCAGGCTTGGCTGGCTCCCCGCTCTGTCCTGCGCCCTTGCTCTGCTCTCTGCTCCTTCCCTCCCTCCCCTTCGCCATTCCCAGCGTGAGTACAGGATCTGAGCCAGTACCTGCTTGTCCTCCACAGTGACCCCCATGTGTAAGAGACTACCGCATGCGTGCCGTGCTCTAAACAAGCCACGTCTGCCTGGACATGTGCGTTCCCGGGGGCTGTGACGGGAAAGGCGCCCCCCACAGGTGTGCGAGTGGCGGCGGGAAGCCTATCTTTGCCCTGCACGTAAGGAACACTGCTTCTACGAGGATGCCTGGTTCCAGTCTGCTGTCCCCCGTGACAAAGACAGTTGGAGGGTAAGTCCTTGTCACAGAGGCCCATGAGCGAGTCAGTACAGCTCATTCGCAGGCCATATCTTGGGTAAAATTTCTAAAGCAGTGGATCTTTACCGTGGGTGATTTTTTCCTCCCAGAGGACATTTGGCAATGTCTGGAGTCATTTTTGGTTGTCACAATTAGGGTTAGGGGGTTTACCAGGAATGCTGCCAAGTACACAGGACAGCCCCTCCTTCTCACCCCGGCAAAGGTCTGCCTGGTCCCAAATGTCTATAGGGTCAAGGTTGGGGAACCTGATCTGAAAGGACAAAGAGCTTGCATATTTAAAGATTGTATTTTTATAGTAGCATAATTTAAATGAACAAATCTAGACACAATCTACCAAATTACAGATAATTATATTAGGAACATTAAATTCAGTGGACTATAAAGTGACCATTTAAGAAGATATATATGAGAACTCTTTAGCAATATTGAGAAGCATGTTAAAACTATATATATGATTATATATACTTACATGTATATATGAATTCCTCAAATGATTGAATGTAAAGTCACTATACGATCCACCAGTTCCACTCCCAGGCATACACCCAAGAGAGGTAAAAATATATGTTCACACAAAAACTGGTACATAAATGTTCATAGCAGTATTGCTCATCATTGCCTAAAGGTGGAGGTAACCCAAATGCTCACCAGTGGATGAACGGATAAACAAAGTGTGGCCTGCCCACACAATGGAATATTATTTGATGCTGAAAAGGAATGAAATACTGACACAAAATGTTACAACCTCGAAAACAGTATGCCGAGTGAAAGAAGCCAGAACACAAAAGGTCACATAGTGCCTGACCCCATTTATAGGAAATGTCTGGCGTAGACCTAGGGAGAAACCAGTAGGAATCGTGCCCAGGGGGAGGAGCGGCCACCTTGTTACCACTGCTAAGTTGGAAGTGTCCTGAGACAGAGGGGGTGGGGGCAGAGGCAGGTGCCTCTCCCTAGTGACAAGGCAGGGCAGAGCTGGCAGAAAACTACCTTGACCTCCCTCTCTTCTCTCGCTCCCTCTGAATCCTGGGGCTCCCCTGCCATGGGCTGAATCCAACCTGAAGCTGGAGAACACAGAAGCCAGTCTCTGCAAGCTGTTAAATCAGCCGCTGTCGCCCTGAGGCAGGGTGGAGAGGGCAAGGGCGGATCTGGAGACTTCCCGCACAGAAGGCAACTATTCCAGGAAATATGTCCACTGGGTGGATTCACTGAACTGATGCTTCAAAACACACACGGTCAACAAAGAATGCAAATGTCACCACGCATGACGCACGCCTTCAATGTTACTAAGAGCCCGAGAACAAAACAACCAACCAATTACACGTGCGACCCAAATACCAAATTCCAGCAGAGCTGCTTCACCCTTGCCAGCCTCTGGGTGGGAGCAGCAGGGGAGGGAGGCTTAAAGGGTTCAGTTTATTAAAAAAAAAAGGAGAAGGGAGGAAGGAAAGAGGAGGAAGAATAGAGGGCAGAGCAGGGGAAAACAGAGATCACAGACAAAGTCGGTCCCAGAAAGCTCAAGTTCCCATGAGCGTCCAAACACTGAGCGCGGGCCTGGGGCTTGGCAGGTTGCAGCGCCAGCTGCAGGGGACGGGCTTCGAAAGGGAGCCGGCCAAAGCGGGCAGCCTCCGCGAGGCAGCGCTTCTGGGGAGGAATCGGACCAACAGCCGTAGTAGCTTATTTCCAAGATGGTCGTGGGGGAGGGGCCTGAGGCGGCCCTAAGGCTGGGGGTTTGCGCTGCCACATGCAACCCTCTCGGTGGCTGACAGCAGCGGCTCCCGCGCAGCTGCGTCACGGTGCGCAGCGGGGACGGAGCTGTCAGCCTCCGGGTCATCGGGGCCAGGAGTGCGGGGAGGGCCGTGGGGGTGGCTGCGAGTGCCTCGTTTTCCTTCTTGCACTGTATCCTCCTCAAATGTGGGGTTCGTCTGGTCCCACCCATGCGTCCACCTCCAGCAGAAAGCCTAGTTTTACCTGCACGGTTCCATGTCCTCACGGCAACCCTGTGAGCAGCCAGGAGGAAACTGGAGCCCTGGCTGGGTGGCTCCGGTGGTGGGAGCGCCCGCCGACCCCATCAAGGCTGGTATGGGAGGCAATAAATGGATGTTTCTCTCTGTTTCTCTCCCTTCCCCTCTCTAATATATCCTTTGGTGAGGATCCTTGGGTGAGGATTAAAAGACAAAGAAAGAAATCGGAGGAGAGAAGAAGCAACTGCCTGAGCCCACAGCAGCAGCAGAAGGCTGAGGTGGCCTTGTAGAGTCAGGACTTGGGACTGTGGGTACCCCAGGCCTTTGACGAAGGTTTGTTGACTGAATGAAAGGTCTTCTCTCTTCCCCTGTAGCCAGCACCCAGCACCCAGCCCCCAGTGCCCAGGGTTTGACACTGGGGAGAACCAACACTGTCACCTCAGCCTCCTTCACTGTGGGCTCACTAAGTGCCACGCACGGTGCCCCGCATTTACATAGACCGCCTGAGTTTCACATTATTACTGAGAAATATGACCACAAACTGAGTGCCTTAAAACAACACAAATTGATTTTCTTAGCCGTCCTGGAGATCAGAACTCTGAAATACTCTCATTGGGCTAAAATCAAGGTGCCAGCCGGCAGGCCTGCATTCCTCCTGGAAGCTCTAGGGAGGATCTCATTTCTTTGCCTTGCCTGGCCTCTTCCCCGCTCTGCACAGATGCCAGCAGCATGGCATTGTCTCTCCCCTGTTGCTGGTTTCCGCCCTCCCGTTTCCTCTCTCTGGCCCTGACCCTCCAGCCTCCCTCTTATTAGGTCCTCCTGGAAAACCCAGGATAATCTCCCACCTCCAGACCCTTTACTTAATCACGGCTGCAAACCCCCTTTGCCATGGAGAGTAACATAGTCACAAGCCCTGGGGATTACAATGTCCCCGGGGGCTAGCATGCAGCCTGCCTCCTGTACCAACTCATTTGATTCTTGGGTGGTAATGCCAAGACATAGATGGTATGATTAGCTCCATTTAACGGAAGTGGAAAGCACATGGCATAAAGTAGGCACTCAGTAAATGTTTGCAGGGATGACCTGGTGTGTTTATAGGTGTCCCTTGGGGGGACTTTGTTTCTCCTTGGATATGAGGATGAACTCTCACATGCATTCAAATTCTTTGGCTCCTTCCACACCGCCTTGGGCTTTTGCTGGCATCCTTTCCTCCCTTTTAGGGCCTGCAAGGCGGGAACATCTGTCTGTTTTACAGAAGAGCACCGTGAGGCTCAGGCTCGGTGCAGCCAGTCCTTCATGGCAGCCAGCTGAACGACTCTGTCTCGCTCTCAACCCTTCGCTTCGTGACACCCAGCACAAGGGACTCCCTGCATCCTCGGCGGCAACCTTCGGGCTCAGCTCTGCACTTGGCTGCTGGATTTTTTGTCTCTCTCCCTGCCATTTCGTCTTTGCGTACTCTTTCTGTGGTGAGCGCATGTGTGCACACAAGATGCGTAAAGATGCGTGGCCATCTTTATGTGCCTTTACCCCCTCTCTCATCTTCACCTGCAAAATGCAGATCGTTGCCACAGTTCACAGCCTTCCCCACGTGCAAGAAGCCACGAGGCTTACCCTGCCCTCACAACACAGCTCCCTATGACTTCAGAGAGGACCACACGTTCATCTGACTTTTTTCCCAAGTGCAGAGAGTCAAGTTTGTATTCACTCGCCAAGAGAGGAGCAGGGCGTGGTGTGGAGAGATACACCAATCTCATCTGATTTTTTTTAAAAGATTTTATTTATTTACTTTTAGAGAGAGGAGAAAGGAGGGAGAGAAACATCCATGTGAGTATATCCATTGGTTGCCTCTCGCACGCCCCTAGCCAGACCTGGGCCACAACCCAGGCATGAGCCCTGACCGGGAATCGAACCAGCATCCTTTCAGTTCACAGGCCTGTGCTCAATCCACTGAACCACAGGCGCCAGGGCTGATTTTTTTTTTCTTTTAAGTAGAGACACCTTTCCATCACCCTGGCAGTGATTAAGAGCTTCAGGTCCGAAGTCAGACTACTGGATTGGAATCCAGGCTTTACCGCTTGTCAACAGGGTCACCCCAGGAAAGTAAATTAATTCCTCTGGGCTCAGTTTCCTCATCTGAAAACTGAGGAACAATAACTATTTTTCTCATTCCACCCCTGGCAGATGCTTTTTTTTTTTTTTTTTTTTTTAAAGAAAAAGGATTTGCTTACAAGTCGCCACTTCTGCCCCCCGACACCGCTTTCCCCACTCCTGTCAGAACCGGCTCCCTTCCTGGGCAGCCGTGCCCCCACCCTGCGGCGCACTAACACAAGTTATCCAGAAGGGGTGGCGGCTCTGGTCGCGCACGCTTTCAGGGGATTCAATCTGCTGGGTCTCCTTCCAGGGCCACTTTCCTTGGGAGCCTCCTTTGTAACCACAGATGACAGGCCCAGGCTGTCTGCTTGTGGGACTTGGATCAGCGGTGAACAGATGAAGGAGGCATCAGGGAGGACACGCTCATACCTCTAGCGTCCATCCTAGTAGATAGCCATCTTGCAGCTGTCCCCGCTTTTTCCGTTACACGCTGGCCTGGTGACGGGGAGGAGGTGTTGGCACCTGGAGGAGACGGGACAGAAGGCATTTCGGGATGACTTCATCTCTAGGCCTTGCCTCTCAAGATTCCAGCCAAATCAGCTCTGCCCTTTCAGGGTCGGAAGCAGGGTCAGCATTCCAGAAGCTCCCTGTCATACCCAGGCTTTTAATCAGGTGACATTGGAGAGTTAGCCTCCTAGTGAAGGGGTTCGTGGGAGGGTCAGGAGGAGTCTTGTCCCTGCCCCACACTTGTCTTTCTGGCTAGATCTGTGTTGCGAGCGCAAGAAGACCTCTTGTTCTGAGTTTGCTCTGGGAGATCAGAACCACGGACAGCGACAGGGCGCCGGGGAGCCCCACAGGCCAGCAGGCGAACTCGCTCCAGAGGGAAGAATACAGGCTGCACCGGTGGGGCGTGGGCTGGGCTGTTCCCCACTTTCTCTCGGTCACCCTGTACACCTCACACTTGTGTCATGGGACCTCGGTACCCTGGAGTCCTTCCTTCCCTCTCCAGGAATGGCTAGGGGTGGGGAGGGAAGAGGAAAGCGCCATGCCAAGGCCCAGGGTTTTTTCAAGAAAGGAGGAAGTGGGAGGCGAGGGACCTGTTGGTGTGCCCATGTGCGCGCCCCTGCCCCGGCCAGGCCCACTTCTATACAAGGCCTGCTCTCCCCAGCCTCCACCCCCTGGCGAGTACTGGGCGCAGGCGCTGAGGGGCGGGAATGCGGCTGATAAATCAGAGATAACCTCGGAGGGCAGGGCAGGCGGGCACCCAGGCCAGGGATAAAAGGCCGCGGACACCGGAGGATCCAGGGACGTGCCTGCGGACCTGGAGGAGGCGATCCGTGAATCCAGACACAGCAGCTGAAGGGCAGCGACCTCTGCCCACCTCTCCGGCAACATGGACCCGCTGACTGGGCTGCCCCGGGTGCTCTGGCTGCTTCTGTTCTTGCAGCTGTCGCTGCTAGGAGGTCATCCGCACCCGCTGGGTGGCCCTGGCCCCTCTTTGGACCTGTCTCAAGATGGCAGCAGCGATGAACAGGTCTCTACTCTCTGTCACAAAAGGTCCCTTTGAGAATCAGAAAGCAGCGAGACTGGGAGCCAGGGCCCTGTACCCACGGCAGTCGGTTCCCTTGGGTGCAATTGAGGGTGGATGGGCTCAGGTGAGGGTTCCTGAGGCTCGGGCTCTTCCCCCCATTGCAGGAGCCGCTGGATCGTCTTCCGGAGCCGTGGAATGGGTGGCTAGCCGTGGAGCCCCTGCGGCAAGGACACGGCTCTGCCGAAGCCTGGACCGCCAAACAGGCGGCTTCTGCGGGCGGCCTTGGGCCTCCTGACTATGTCCTCCAGGCCCTGTGGGGACTACCAAGCCCCAAGAAGACACCTGCCTCGGGCTGCTTCGGGAGGAAGCTGGACCGCATCAGCTCCTCCAGTGGCCTGGGCTGCAAGGGTGAGCACCCTCCCTGACACCTGGCCACATCCGCCATTGGCGTCACGTTGGGGTTCGTTGTCTCTGGGGACCACACTCTGAGAATGGGAGCCCTCACAGCACTTCCTGTTGCTGACAGTCCTCAGCGCCCAGGAGCGCCTTTCTGGGGATGTTCCCTGGGCACGCTCTTTGTTACCGAGCCCGTGACTCCCACCCACGTTGTTTGCATCCACCTTCTGCATCTGTGATCAAAAGGGCAGAGTTGCACCAGGGTGGAATTCAGTCGTGCCTGGCAGCTTCTCCTCGGGCAGAAGGAGCCCTAAATATTTTCCTCCTTGTTTCCCCTCAACTGTCTTCAGCTGCAAGGGCAGAGGGCAGGGGCAGCAGGGCAGCCACAATCCTGTTTACAGAGGAGGAAACCGAGTCGCAGAGAGATGGATTGTTTCCAAGCTCCAAATATCCACATCGGCCGAGGATGGGAGTCGGGGGAGGGTGGGGAGAGGAGGTGGCAGGGGTGGCCCAGGGTGAGGGGAAGCTCAGCTCCTGCCTCCACCTCCCCCCAGCACCATCATCCCCCTTTCTCTTCCCTCCACAGGGTGGAGGAGTCATTAACAGGAAGACCTGGTGGCAGGCTGGTCCCCTCTGAAGCAACTCCTATTTATTTATTATATTTTCAACTTATTCGATTGTTTTATATAAGCCAGTTCTTCCCTTGGAGCACACATTTTCCATGAGATAAAGTCAACATTAAAGTTTTTTCTTTTGAAACTGATTTGTCTCATTGTATGCAAAATAATTCATCGTTTCAAAAAAAAAAACACAAAACCCCCACCAAAAATCCAATAAGAAAAAACTCCCAAACTCTGTGTTTTCTTGGAGGTCCCCAAGGTGTCTTGGTTGGGAGGTGAGGACGCAAGCCCCCAGGGCTGGCCAGCTGTGGTGAGGTGGGGCCCTTCATGCTCTGAAATGTTTAGAAACACCTTGAGCAATTGAGACGCTTCCCAGACACTGTTTTCAAAGCCTGGCGGGTCCTTCCTGCGAGTGGGCCGGGCCCTGAGCTTTCTGGGCAGCGTGAGGCTGCGTGGCCCAGTTTTATGCCCCCAGCCTGTGTCTGCATTCCCGTGAGAGATGCTCTCCCTGCCATTCATTGTTTCCAGCAGGTCTAAGCTGCAATCGCAGAGATGGGGCGGTGGCCGGGCGGGGGGGGGGCGGCATGTGTGTGTGTGTGTCCATGTGGCTCCATTGCACCCCTGAATGGCAACGCGCCCTCTGTCCTGCCCCAAACCTCACCTCAAGCCTTGGATTCCTGATGTCGCCTGAAAGGAGCCTTGAAAACCCTGAGGTTCAAAGTATTTTCATTTCCCAAAACCACAAGCATAGAAGCGTGGGACAAGAGGCCCAGCATTTCGGGGCGCCCCTCTCCTGGGCCCTGCATCGTCACCTCCTCTCTGCCCTAGAGAGAGAAGCCCCTCATTTTCAGGCAGAAAAGGAGACAAGCACTGGAATCCCACTGCGTGGCCTCAGTCGGCGGGGAGCCCTGGTAGGGGCCATGGCCCTGTGTTCTGTGGGCCCCCTCCCCTGTCACCTGCCTTCCAGGCACCCCCAGGCTGTGCTGCTGAGCCTGCCTCTGCTTTTCAGGTTTCGGGGTCTGTGCCTTTCATGAGCCAACTCAGTAAAGGTGATGGGACTGTTATTGTCCCCATTTTATGGATGAGAAAACCGAGACCCAGAAAAATGAAGTGTCCTACCTGTCAGCATGTAGCCCCTCGGCACCAGGGCTGGGATTTGGGCGCAGACCCAGGCGGCTCTTGGGACTGGCGCGCCTCCCTGGAGCTGCTGGCCTTGAACTGCACTCTGCTGGCCGTTCGCCTCACCGGTGTTTCTTTGAGGGAGAGGGCACTGGAGGTGGTGGGTCTTAGTGTTGTTTCTCACTTGAGCCCACTGGGCACCAGAGCTTGTAAGTATCTAATGAGATCTCCTGAGATTTAAAAAATGAGGTTTTCGCCTCTGGCCAGGTAGCTCAGTCAGTTAGACTGCCTCCTAATAGGCTAAGGTTGTAGGTTCAATCCCCGGTCAGGGCGTGTACAAGAGGCAACCACTGAATGCCTAAACAAGGGCAACAACAAATCAATATTTCTGTTTCTCTCTTTCTCAAAAGTCAACCAATTGATTAAATGTATTAAAAAATAAAATAAAAACTGAGGTTTTAGGAGCAACTTATTTTGCAATAAAACTGTGAGTCATCTTTGCCTAGTGTTTTTGACAAGGACTCTATAAAGTAAAAATTTTTTTATTTTAAAGATTTTATTTATTTATTTTTAGAGGGAGGGAATGGGAGGGAGAAAGAGGAGAGAATCATCAATGTGTGGTTGCCTCTCACATGCTCCCCACTGGGGACCTGGCCCACAACCCAGGCATGTGCCCTGATTGGGAATCAAACCAACGACCCTTTGCTTTACAGGCTAGCGTTCAACCCACTGAGCAACACCAGCCAGGGCTGAAGAAAAAATTATTAGCTCTCATTTTACAGATGGGGAAACCGAGGCACAGAGAGGTGATGTAACTGAGGCTCAGGATCATGGAGTTAGTCAGTGGCACAGAGAGGACTTGCGCTCACCCAGCCGGGCCCTGGCACCCAGGCACCTCACCACTGCCCCGCCCGGCCCCTCCTGAGCCAGGAAGTTAGGCTTGCTTGTGGGACGGCCGTTCCCCCTCCCGACCGCACCACTCAGGTGCCATTGCAACCTGTCCTCTGCTCAGGTCATGGCAGTAAGCCCCGCCCAGAACACCCACTCCCGAAACCCAGGCTCCAGGCGAGTCTATTCTCCCATGCACAGGGCTCCGGTGGCGGAGTCTTTCTGCACGATACGGATGCATCCTGTTGTCGAGCTTTTACAGGAAAGAGGACACTAAAGCCACTGGGATGAAGCCACACGTGACTGAGGGAGGAGGGGCAGTGGGTGGCCTGAGGCACCCTTTGGAGCCACGTCTCCTGGGGCTTCCTCAGTATTTGGTGTCCATGGGCGGCACGCAGCACACACACCGTCTGTGGGTGCCCCTTAAAGCCAGCCTCCTCGCCTGTGACCCGGGCCCCTTCAAACACCTCTCCTCGCTGCTCCAGCCAAGGCTGTCACCTCCCTGACTTCCCTGTTACCAACCTGGTCACGCAAAGAGGCTGCCAGATGACATATGTCCATGGGTGTTTGTCCCTTGAATCTTCCCAGAAAGATGTGTTGGTGAACACAGACCCAAGGAGACCTAGCCTGTGCTTCCTGCAGAGCTGGAGGGAGGTTCAGGAGAGGGTAGACAGGCTTTGCTGTGCCTCAGATGTAAGGTTGCGGAAGTCAGGGCGGCGCTGGGTCTGCGCCTGGGTGTCCTCAAGCCGTGCGGAGCCCGTCTCCGTCCCTCTGTGGCAGCTCGACCCTCCTGAGAATGACTGGAGGCAGGGTGGGGAAATGCTTTTCTCTTTCTGCAGAGCCAGGTCTAAACAAAATCATGAACTTGGCCATTTTTCTTTGTTCCTGGTGTGGTTCTCAGCCTTCCGCCCCTGTATCTGTAGGGATAGCCTTTTATCCCTGTGTCTGTGCTGTCTTAGTTTTAACGGTCCAATTCCACAAAGCAACCTGATTCTGCCATGGGGTCAGGAGCCAGCCCCATACGAATGCCTGGACGTCCAGAGAATTTCTAAACCCAAGCTCTGCACTTATCCTGGGGTGTGGGCTCCCAGCCTCATGCCCCGAGCTCTCTTTCGGTTTCACCCAGTCCCCGCCCTGCAGGCCTCACGGCACACGGGCCGGGCTCTAACTCCTTCCAGCATCACCACACTGTCCTCTGGCCGCTGGAGCCCACTTGGCTCCCCTGGGGTGGGCGCGAAGTCCTGGGGAATTCACATTGACCAGGAGCAGCGCTCCCCCAACATCCGGCAGGAGTTGGCATTTAAAGACTCCAGCGCCCTCGGTTCACAGGTGGGACCCATCGGGCACTGGTTCCCAGAGTCCTTCGCGGGGAGGGAAGGTTAACCTCCAGTGCCCCAGGTGGTTACTTCCCCACTCTGCTGATGTTTCCTGGGATCCTCTCCAAAACAAACTACATTGGCTTAGATTCTTGTCACAGGTTCAGAAAGACCCAAACTAAGATACTCCCGAAAGAATAAATCTTCTCCCAGGGCCCCACCCTCGATGATGAGCCCCAGGAATCTTCCCAGGCGCTGCTCTCCGGCTGAACCACCCAGGCAGGCACCGTGCCCACCCTGCCTCCCTCCCCAGCACTTCCTGCTCACTATTCACTCCCTGTCCTGGTTTAGACCCTCACCGCTCATGGGGACATTGAGGCACCGGCTTCCTAACTGGCCTCTCCCCGCCAGGTGCCCCGATCTGGCTCTCCCTGCACTGCGGGGGAGAGCAGGACCTTCCCGCGTCACCCCAGGCTGACCCCACTCCCTGTGAGGCCCCCGGGGAGGGCGAGTGCAGCGTGGGGAGTCGGGGCTGGGGCAGGTGCGGGGAGGGTGGCTGTAGGAGAGGCACTGAAGGCAAACTCATTGATCCAACCACTTAGGAAACGTTTTCTGTGCCAGGTGCTGGGACAGAGTGGGGACCTGCAGCTGATTCACGCTCTGCCTCACACCTGCTCAGCCTTTGGCCTCCTGGCAAATGCAGCCTTGGCAATGGCTGACCTGGTTCTCATACCTGCTATCCCACCTGCCCTCCTTCCTCATATACCACCCCCTCATCCTCCCCGCAGAATCAACTGGCAAGGAGGGATCGCCAAGCCAGGTCACGGGAAGATGGGCCGGGGCGTCTGTTCCCGCCACCCCCGTGCCCCACCCCTGCCACTGCCTGAGGGAATGGGGTAACACAGCCCAGCAGTGCAGAGGGGTCCATGGCTTGGTTGGGATATGGGGTGAGATAGGGGATGGACCCCTCTGACCAGTGACAGACCAGAGATGAAGAGGAGCCCACAGATGAAGTGCTTGTGTTATGGGTTGAATTGTGTCCCCCGCTCCTAAAAGACACGTGGAGGTCTCAAACCCCAAGAACCTCAGAATGAGATCTTATTTGGATAGAGGATCATCGCAGGTGTAACGAGTTAAGACGAGGTCACGTCGGAGCAGGGCGAGCTCCTAGTGCAATGTGACAGGTGTCCTTACAAGTAGAGAGACACAGACACAGGAAGGACGGCCACGTGGTGTTGGAAGCAGGGACTGGAGCGATGCATCTGTAAGTCAGGAGCGTTGGCAGCTACGAGAAGCTGGACGAGGCCAGGAACGACCCTCCCCTCCAGGCCTCATGGGGAGCGCGGCCCTGCTGACGCCTTGATTTCAGTCCTCTGGCCTCCGAACCGTGGGACAGGACGTTTCTGTTGTCAAGTCCCCCAGCCTGCGGCGCGTTGTCACAGCATCCACCCAGGGGTCTGATGCGGTGCCCTCGCCCTCTCCTGTCCTCACAGGCGGCTCCAGGAAGCCCCTGGGGATGCTCAGGGCGACCGGCCAGCCACTAAGGTGGTTTTTCAAAACTGTAGCCAGGCGGTCACAGGTTGCCTTATAGTTCCTCTCGTTGGGTCCTTCCCGGGCCAGGCAGCCTCTGGGACGGCCCCGGGGAGGCTCGCATCCTGGTGCCCATGGCCTGTGTGTGGGCTGGACCCGGGGACCCACTTTTAATGAGCACCGCACGGCAAACATGGGGGGATGCCTCTTCCGAGGCAAGGCTACAAACGACGGTGATTTGCATCATCTCTCTCTCTCTCTTTACCTAAAGAAAGTCAGCTGCATCCCTGTAAAGAGACCCATGCGGTAAGGAACCGACGCCTCCAGCAAGGACCAGAGGGTTACCAGCAGGCACAGGAGTGAGGCTGAAAGCAGATCCTGCAGCCAGGCCTTGGGATGACTGCAGTCCTGGCCAACATCTTTTATTTTTATTTATTAATTATAGAGAACTAGCAAAAGAGAGAAAGGCTGATCTGTTGTTCCGCTTACTTATGCATGTACTGGTTGATTCTTGCACGCACCCTGACCGGGGATCAAACCTGCGACTTTGGCACATTGGGACAATGCTCTAACCCACTGAGCAGCTGGCCAGGGCGCGGCCGACACGTTAATGGCAGCCAGTGAGAGCCGGAGCAAGGAGCACTCAGCTAAGCAGGGACACGTCCCTGATCCACAGGGACTATCAAACTATAGACAGGTGCTGTTTTACGTTGTTAAGGTTCGGGGTCATTTGTTACACAGCAAGAGTTAACTAATACACTACTTCGCTTCCCTTTTCTCCTCACTCTTGCTTCCCTTGATCTGGAACCCCCATAAAGCTTTAGCAAATGAATTTTCCCTTGGGCTTTGTGTTCCAGGGAACCTGCTCCCACCTCCCATCCTAGGGACCTCCATATTGTACCAAAGAAACAGAACAGCGTTTTCAAAGTCAGAAGCAACCATCTCTAAACATGCAACAGTGTCTTACTCATTTCTCCCAACAGAGCTTTCTGCTTTAGCCCATTTGGGTCTGACAGAAACTCGTGCTATGAATATAATGGGCTTTTCTACCAGTTATGCACATGTGTGACATTGCTGGACCTTACGGCTCCCCAAAGCAGCCCACGGCGTCCCCATGGAGGGCTGTGAAGCCAAACTCTGGGCTGGAAACTGGAGATACCCCAAGTCTGGGTTCTCCCACCATTGACAATGTACATTCCATACATGACTACCACGGCTCTTTCCAGAGATAAGGAAATAAAGCCTTTTGATTTTTCAGCCAGTGGGAGAGGAGGGCATGGACCGGATTTTCTCTGTCTCTTGCTGTTCTCTCTCACTCGTACAGGCTGGCGTCTAAACACCCCATTGAATATTTACTTCTCCATACCCACAGCCTGAAGTTGAGTAGAAGTATGGAAATGAAGAGAAACTTTACATCAAGCCATGTTTGTTGTTCTTGTTTCAGGCTCAAGACAAAGGCTTTAATGGTTTTCTGGGATAGTAAGTGTGTTTGGGAATTGTCTGTGTTTTCCCTGGGTCCAGTTAGCGCAGGAGGCGGTATTGGCTCTATACAAAGTCCTCGGGGCTGCAAAACTAAATGTCCTTTTTCTTGTGAACACCTTCTGCAGAGGAACAAACAAAAACAAGCCCCGGCTAACAAGACACTCCACAAATGACACCCGTGCCCACTCCAGTTTCACTCTGGGAGAAGAAAATTGACTTTAATAAAAGGAGGTGGGTGGGTTCTGAAATTCTCTTTCTGGAACCTTGGACAGTACTTCCGCTTTTCCTTGGGCCACCTGCAGACCTCTGACGTGGCTCAGGACTGAGGAGCAGCCTGGGTGCTCGGAGGCCACCCGCCGCGATGCCCTTCCAGAAGTCTTTGCTGGCATCAAAGTCTTGTCTTAAAGGGCATCTCCAGGAGACGGGCCGTGTGACGCACACAGCTCAGAGCGCCACTTCCTCTCAGCGTGGCTGCTCACTGAATCCTCTTGGCTAATAATAACCCTGCCAACCAAGCAATTAAGCCCTGAGCACATTCCAGGGACCCATCAGGATGTGGTGGCTCTTTGCCCCCAGAGCTCCGACTCCGAGCTGCAGCCGTTTCAATTTCAAGTTGAGTGTGGCTGACCTGGATCACTTCCTGAAGGGAGCTCCCTTTCCTTTCCTTCCGTCATAGAATAAAACCATCCTGGACACCCTTAGAATAAAACCGCCCTGGACACCTCTCGGGAGGTCTTGCCACATCCGGCCTTGACTTTCTTGCCTTGATGTCTGAGTAGCCAAGGAATGTGCGCAGGTCAGGAGGCGCCTCACCAGGATGCGCTGCTGATCAGCACGTACTTCGTGAACTTCCTTGGAGACGCAATTGGGTGTGTCAATAGGTCGGGGAGGTTGGAGGTAGCACTTTTTTTGAGACAGTCCATACACACATGCCGACTTGCCAAGCACACAAAGCTCCAGCCCCTGGGCAGGGGAAAGGTGAGAGGTTGCTCAGAGGCAGCCTGAGAGGCTGGGAATAGGGGTGCATTTCTCCAGGGACAGGACCGAAGGGGCTTGTCAGGAACCACGCTGCTAAGAGGCGGCGTATCCGTGAAACGGGTTACAAACGTGGGCGTTGGTGTCAGGCCTGGGGCTCAAGCCCTAGTTCTGCTGCTCATGACCTTGGGCAAGTGACACTCGTTCTTCGTCTCAGCTCTGTTCCTCTGTAAATGGGAACACCGCTCCCCACCTCCTGGGGACATTACACGCGTCAGGCTCAAGGAATCTGAGCTTCTGTGAGGAGCGAGGTGAAAACAGGCATTTCCTCAGTGCCCCTCTCCCCCAGCGGCCCGGAGGGGGCTGTGGGGCAGAGGGCGGGGTTGCTCTTCAGGGGAACAGTTGTGCTCCCCAAACTCTCCTTGGCGCTCACGTTTGGGACGTTCATCACGCTTGCATCCTGGCTGACTGCGTATTCTGAAAAATAACCCACTTCTCACCTGGCCGCTGACAGCAACTGCCAAGGGAGGGGAGTCCTGTCGGAGGGAGAGGCTCTGCCCTCACGGCCAGTGAGTCAGGTGTGAGGCCAGCTCGAGCAGCTGGACTAATTTGTCCCTAGCAGCCGGCTGCCTGCCACTTCCTCCTCTCCCACCCTTATTTGGAGCCCCTGACAGCTGAGCCGCAAACCAACTGGGCGTCCGAACCGTCACCCTCTGCTTCCCGGCATGGGTCCCGTTGCCCAGGAGAAAGAAGCTGGAGGCATCGCTGCGAGATAACCAAGGACTCTTTTTTGCTCTTCTCACACCTTTGAAGTGGGAACCTCTTGAGGCAAATCAACAAGAATGTGGCTCTTGCAGCCTAGGTTCCCGGGGCTTGCGGGGGCTGCTCAAGGTGGAGGGCTGTGAAGGGCTCTGCTGGACCGATAACTTTAAAAGGGCATCTTCTGCTGGCTCCTCACTCGGCTGCTTTATCGCCGCAAGTGACAGAATGGGGAGGGTTCTGTCCCTCTTGCGCTCTTGGAGGGCCGGGGGGCTATAAAAAGGGGAGGCGCAGGGCAGCTGGGAGACGGAGACGAACGAAGGTCGTAGAGGGAAGCCAGAGAGGAGAGAGAAAGGGCAGCACGCAGCAGACCGCTCCTGGACCGACGCCGGCATGGGCTCCTTCCTCACCATCACCGCGAGCTTCCTCCTCTTTCTGGCCCTTCAGCTCCCAGGACAAAGCAGAGCTAACCCAGTGTACGGCTCTGTGTCCAACACTGACCTGATGGATTTCAAGGTAGGGCCGGGAAGGGGGCATGGTCTGGGGCCAGGGGACTTTGTGACACTCTGCTAGCCAGCGAGACCTCTTTCTTTCCCTGTTTTCCTTTTGTAAAGAATTTGCTGGACCACTTGGAGGACAAGATGCCTATAGAAGATGAGGTCGTGCCCCCACAAGTACTCAGTGAGCAGACTGAGGAAGCTGGGGCAGCGCTCAGCCCCCTCCCTGAGGTGCCTCCCTGGACTGGGGAGGTCAACCCGGCCCAGAGAGAGGGGGGTGCCCTTGGGCGGGGCCCCTGGGACTCCTCGGATAGATCTGCCCTCCTGAAAAACAAGCTGAGGGCGCTGCTCGCTGCCCCGCGGAGCCTGCGGAGGTCCAGCTGCTTTGGGGGCAGGATAGACAGGATTGGAGCACAGAGTGGACTGGGCTGCAACAGCTTCCGGGTAAGAGGGACTGGGGGTGGGAATGGGGTGGGCAGGAAGGAAATTGTTGTTCCATCGGGTCTCACACCCCATCATAGGACACTGCCAGGGGATGCCTTTGGCAGGAAACGGGCCCGCATAGCAGCTCATTCCCTTGGAAATCTCTGCCCCTACTCGGTGGCTGTCCCATGAACACAGGGCCAATGGCATCATCCTTAGCTTGCTGAGAAAATGAGAAAAAAAGTTACTGCCATGAGCACTGGGTACTGATATGTTCATGGGGCCAAGTCACCTTGACCCTGCTGATTGGCAGGTCATGCTCCTCCCCCAGAACAGTCAGATCCAAAAGGCCAATGGGAACTGCCCGGGGCTAACCTTATAAGCTTCTAATGAGCAACTTGTTTATCAGTTCATGCAACTCGGAGGATCATCCGACTAAGTGGGGGTGCTGGTGGGAAGGGAGCATAGTCCTATGAAGCTGTGAAGGCCATTTATTTTTCAGATGCCCAGTAGAGCCAGGTCACCAAGCCAAACATGTCTGTGCTTTCTTCGCAGTACCGAAGATAATAGCCAGGCCAGGGCAGGATTCGAGAGGCCCACATCCCCTGGCGTCTTTCGCTCAACTTTTGTCGCATCTCCTTGCCATCGAGTTGAGTTGTGATGAGCACCCTGTTCGAGCTGCAGCTGCCTGTAAACATTTCTCACCTTTTATGCTAAATGTAGATAAAGTGGCTTCCCCGCCTCTCCCACCTCGTGCATTAAAATTGTAAGGTAAACCCTCACCTGTGATTGACAGAGGTTTGAAAACGAATAAACTTCAGCACCACGGACAGAAGCCGAGGCGCTCGGTGTCGGCTGCGTTCTTTCTGATTCCCTGGGGGGAAGCATTCAGCCCAAGGGTCCTTATCCTCTCACCTTTGGTCATAGAGAAGGCCTGATGCCTTTCTTCCTCCTTTTAACCATAATTAACAAGCTTTGTTTTTAGAGCAATTTTAGGTTCACCATGGCAGGAGCGAGTGGGAAGTATCGATTTCCCATAGGCCCCCCCGTCTGATCACAGGCTCAGCCTCCCCCATTATCAACATGCCCCCGAGATGATGCGTTTGTTAGTTGATGGACCTGCATGGACACATCATTATCACTCCAGTTCCATAGTTGACACAGAGTTCATTCTTGGTGGTGTACATTCTGTGGATTTGGACAAATCCTTCCTTCCTCTTTATTTATTCACATTTGGTGGGGGTGGTGGGGGACTGGGGTTCAAACTGCAGTTCTCAACCTGCTCTCTCATTCCAGCTTCATCATAGATCCTGAAAAAGCCCCCGGAGACTGAAAGATCATTATTTTTTTAGATTTGCTCATATTCAGGGCCCTTAATTATTAAAAAGAAAACTTAAAACATCTAAGCTTTCTTCCCTCTGGTTACGCCTAATGTAGGTTGAATGCAATAGACAATTTTTGCACACCTAGTACTTTTTGGTTACGTTTTTTTAAGGCACTTTTATAAAATGAGGGCACAACATTTTCCGATACATTTTGTTAGCTGCTGCAGCTGAGCAAATAGCACTTTTAGTTTTAAGAAGAGGCAAAGAATTTGGGTTTAAAGGCTGAGCAAAGTGAAGGAAGAAACGTTTGCTCTGCTGACGCATGGCAAGTTGATGTTTTGGGTACCAACACATATTTTAAAAATAGCCACCGTCTTCCCCTAATCCAGGTCCAAGGTGCCTGGACTTGAGGATTTTCCTGAGGTGGGAGCCACTGGAGAAGACGGTTTCTGTGTATCTGCTTCTGAAAATGTGTCCTAAAGGGAAATTGCCAGGCAGTGAGTTCACCGGCAACAGGAGAGTAGCTCTCTGACCCGTTTCCCGCCCTCACCTCCGCGCGCCTCACTCTGCATCAGCTCCTGTGACACTCCTCCCACACACGCGCGCGGTCGCTTCTCGGTGCCCTTAGTTCTGCTATTCTATCCACTGGAGTACGCTTCACGGAGAACATCCGCTCATTCTTCCTCAAGGCTCACGATGAATGCCACGTATTGCCAAAGCCTTCCCTGATACCACGTGCTCAGTATAAACCCAACTCTCCCCCGGCAGCGCTGTGCGTATAACTGCTGTAAGAGGGCAGAATTTGTCTTGGTAGGCAGCTGCGTCGGTTCCTGGACTGCAAGCTCTTTGAGGGTAAAGGCCCCTTTCAGCACCCCCAGCAGCACACGGAACCGTCCATGCTCTATACGTGTTGGTCAAATTGGCTTGGTCTTTTACCGAAATTGGGAAAAGAGGTAATAAAATAGCAACTTACTCCTTGCAGAGGGGCAGGGGAGCCAGAAGTGAATTGATGGTTAGGGAGTGGAGACAGGGAAGGAACTCTAACCTAACCACTTCCAATGAAAATGTTCCTGACGTAGCCCTGGCTGGTACAGTTCAGTGGACTGAGCGCCAGCCTGCAAACCAAAGGGTCGCCAGTTAAATTCCCAGTCCAGGCACAAGCCTGGATTGCAGGCCAGGACCCCAGTTAGGGGGTGCTTGAGAGGCAACCACACACTGATGTTTCTTTCCCTCTCTTTCTCCCTCCCTTCTCCTCTCTAAAAATAAATAAAATCTTAAAAAAAAAATGTTCCTTATGTGGACTTCAAACTCAGAAGGGTGGGGTAGGGAGAAGCAGAGGGCTAACAAGGACAAGGGCAGGGAGCGCGGAAGAAGCATCTGTCCAAAGCGCCTCCGAGGTCGGGCACAGGGGTGGGAGGTGCTGGGAGGGAAGGGCGGTGAGCTGGGTGTCACCGTGACACAGAGGGTCGGCTGCAAGTGCCAAACGCACAGAAAATGTCCCTGGAACTTGGGGATAGGTGGAGCGGGCTGATCGAAAGACCGTTTCTACTGCTGCTGGCACGGCAACTTAAAGCAGATCAGTCAGAGAAAAAGCAAGTCGCCCTTCTGGCAACACCAGAAGTGAACAAAAAGCAGTGACACATGGCACCAACAGACGGTAGCCACAAGGTTGGAACATCTACAGACTCAGTATTGATGCCGTTGCTTCCGGTTGGCTCTCGGCGGACTCTGTGGGCAAATTCCTAAACACAGCAGTGTCTGGATAGCGGGTCGGCGCTCCGACTACTGTGGGGAGCAGCTGCTGGAGCGAACAGGCAGCGCTTCCGCAGGAGGAAAGGACAGTAAGCAAGACCTGACAGCACCCACGTGGCGGGGGTGGGGGCAGCGGACGGAGGAGGGGTAGCTTCATGATTTTCGCCAGGATCCACGGGACTCAGCCGGTCCTCATCAAGGCAGGGCGTGGGCCCCTGTGAATGAAGACCCCTGCTGGGAACACCAGGAGAGGGCCGAGGCTTTAACGCTGCTTCCCAGCGTTGCTACTTTTTTTTACATGTTAGTAAGAGAGACAGTGTCAACTAAAAAACAAGTACCACTTTAAAGGAGGAACGCTGTGGAGACAAAGGCTAAAGGAGACAGATGAAGACGTTTTACTCTGACATGGTAAGGTTACAGTGAGAATATCCGAGTTCCAAAAGTTCAAATAAAAATAGGATTTTACAAATTAAAAAACATACTATTTACATACACAGTGGAATTAGCTAACATTACCACACAAACAGTGCAAATGAAGAAAGGAAGCTGCTGCCGTCACAATAACCAAAGTCCACAGGGGCTGCAGGGCAACGCTGCAGGCGGGCACCGCGGGCCAGGAGGGGTGTCTGGCTTGGCCGGAGGCTTCCTTGTCACCCAGGGCTGTGTCAGTGTGCGACTTCACGTCCGAAATGTCATGTGGCTGGCTGGCTCAAGCAAGCGTCCATTCTAGCCAGGAGCCGCTAGCTAAGCAAGGCCATGAGCAAATCACCCCTCAGAGCACAAAAGTCCCTTGGCAGTGAGGACTCTACTCCCCACTTCCCCATCTGCCTCAGCCGGGAACCACAACCACCGCGAGCCACCCCCAGAACCCCCGTGTGGGGGCCATACCACGGGGCAGCCATGGGACCCGATGAACGTTGAAAACAGGTCTCTAACTGAAATCAAAGGAGCGAGGCTAACAGTTACTTTGTTACAAGTGGGGCGGTGGCTGTCTTTGGGCTTCTCTGGAAAGGACAGATGTCCCCAGAGGACAGGAAGTGTGTCTTTCCAGCGGGGCCTGGGTTGGGGTCCTCCCGGGAGCTGTGCAGGCAGTTCGGGGCGGGGTGGGGGGGAGGCATTGCCTCCTGCCCTCTGTCTCTGGGCTACGCTGATGAGGACAATTATTTGGTGGCTTAAAAGCAACGCAATGTGCGCGAGGGGTAAATTCCGACGATGTTCCCCGGGTGGCTCTGGGGACCCCGCCCGGGACGCCGGAGGCGCTCCCCAGGACCTGCCCCAGTCTTGGTGCAGGCTGCAGGACAGCCTGTCCAACCCGCGCTACCTCCTCCTTCGTACGAGGGGGAATAATGTGGCCAAGCTCCCAATGCTGCTTCAAAATCAAGTGGCAGCTGCTTGAACACAATCACATTGAGAAGGCCTTGCCTTTTTGGTCCCTGTGATTTCCTAAACAGTTTATTGGGGGTTTCACCCACATTTCACACATCAAGTGCACCCAGAGAGGCTGAAAAACTTGGACCTTGAAGTACTTTTGGTCAGAGATTTGAAAAGAGCGAGGAGGGGGCCACAGACGGTCGGAAAAGACCCTGACGCGGCCCCTCACGGACGTGATGCATCAGTATGTGTTAAGCACAAGACCAGAGGCAGTGGAGCCGGGACTGACCCCCCCGCCCCCCAGCTGAAAGGGTCCTGACATCGAAGTCAACTCGGGGCGGAGCGAGAACAGGGCTGCCTGGCCGAGGCCCTGAAGCCTTCACCACCTCTGTGAGTAAAACAGAACATTAAATGCAAACGAACGCCACCCTGAGTCCCAAAGCACACCTGCCACCGGCCTGCCTGGCGGGCCCAGGATGCTGATGAGCATCTGAGAGGGCGGAAGGAAGAGGCCAGGGAGAGCAAATGTCCGACACCCAGACGCCCACTCCGGGGCCTGCTCCGGGAGGACCACCGGCCTGGAGCGGAACGAAGCCCCTGACACACAGCGGGGCTTCCCGTGTGGGACGCTGGCACCTCCAGGCTACGTTCTCGCAGGAGGCGTCTCCCCGCCCCCACTCCAGGCAGACCCTCCTGAAGTTTCCGTCACTGAGCCCCTCCGTGGGCTGCGGGTGGTCACAGCAGGGAAGTGACAGGTTTGTGAAGGGGGGACAGCCTGGTCCTCAAATACGCCATCGGCTTCATCACAACGCTTGGGCTTCTCGAGCCGGATCATGCACCTTGTCGCGGCCACCAGCTCAGGGTTCACTCCTCTCCGTCTCAGAGGTCACCGTGCCATCCTCCAGGGCAGTTCCATCTAGGGGTGCCTGCTTTCAGTGACCTCGGGGTGCGGGGCCACCGAGGTCCTCTGGGCTGTGGCTGCTTTACCAGGACGATGCAGGAAAAACGTAAGGGCGGTTTAGCAATTCGGTGGAGGTGGAAAGGGGCAGGGACGGATCAGAGCCACAAGGAGGCCATGAATGACTTGGGAAATGGAGACAGAGCTGCCATGTGACAAAACCGCAGGTGTAAACCTGGCCCTCTCGTCAGGCTTCTCGCTCAGAGGCGACCAGCGGAGTCGAATGCTCTGTGCTTCGGGAAGGTGGCGGTTCTAAGGAGGAGACTGACACCCCAGGGGCCAGACCAGAGCCCCAGAGCCCATCCCCCGGAAGCAGGACAGGTGCCCGAAGTGAACAGATGTCAAGCTGAGATGCCCAACGAAGGAAGGCCTCCTGGACACAGGGCCGTTTTCTCAGGGCCCAATCCCTGAATTTAGTAATTTGTTAAT